TAAACCGTGTGATTTTCAAGTAATGCGCAAATTATAACTCCACAAACACAAGAACAAGGACAAAGAAGGTCAGCTCGTTTTGATCTTAACAGTTCAGACATTTTAACAACATTTCGGTACAAAACTGCAATAAAATGGCCTCGAACTCACGATACCGTTGAAGAATAACCTAGAGCGATTTTTGAACAACAGGAAATACTAAAGTATCCAAATTTCTCCGCCGGATTGGCGCCAATCAAAGAAACCTCATTATGCGGTTGTTTCCAACTCACGAAAGTGCATAGAAATTGTGCAAATCCGAACATTTCTGTTTGATAGTTTTACAAGACAGCTGTACTAACAAAACCAAGAATACTTGGTCTTTCAATCAATCATTACACGCCCTCGCATTGCCCCCCTAACAATCGCCAAAGGTCTCTGCGACTGGATTAATCTGAAATACGAGAAGTACTTCCTTTGCACTTCAGAGTGTTAAATCGTTTCCGCCAGCCCTTATATTCAGGGTAGAACAGAACTACTACTCGACGTTTAATGACGACATTGAAATCTGGAAAATTGGTAAGTACAGTCTGTTGTTATCGCGGATAAATGGGTAATTCGGGAGCGGATGAGTTATCTAGGAGGTAATACTTTCTTTTGATTCAAACTTTCGAAAGCTTTTTCATCCAAAGCTTTAACAGCTAAATGATTAAACGCAACGGAGGCTTTTAACCTTCTAAGGGGAATCCTCATATCTTTGAGATCGCTTTATTTTGACATCGATATGTTCGCTTTGTCTTATATTCAGGGAAAGACCCTATTATTACTAAAATGAAAATCAAGAATTTTATGCCAACGTTCAGAGGATTTCTGTACTTGATTGATTTATAACAACTCAAAGATAAAGAACATTTTTTTTTTGGTTTAATGTCGCTACGAGCCATTTTTTCACTGTCTGGTTTTCATATTAGTGATTATGAAACGAAGGTCGCTCGCGGATGAATTTCCAGAGAAAACCTTAAAGATCTTTTGTATCGCTGACATAATTATTTGGAAGAGTGGAAATTCCTTAGAATCTTTTAACAGTCGAGTGCGTACGAGCAATGAACTCTTCTGAAATGACCTCTGGACAATACAGCGGAGACCCAAGCTCAGTTGTAGGTACGTGATTAGAGTTTCAAATAGGAAGCCGTATTCACTATTGTTAACCAAATCAGTCATTTTATGCATATTTAAATCAGCACATGGCATACCTGGCATGGCCTGTCCGTGTGCCGTAAGCTGCAAATACTCAATGATTTTTCAACAAATTTGCGGTATTAAGATGCGTTAAGACTCGTAGAACAATTGATCATAAAACGTTGTCCACAACACGAGTGAGTGGAATCCCGGAGATACCCAAAGTCTCGTGTTTTTCCTTGCTGCTTTTGTCAACAGATTATTACAACACAGGGTATGTTAAAACATTTTCCAATCGTTAAGACTTGTTATTGTTTTATCGAATGCTTAGCGAGCATCGTGATAAAGTTTATACTAATGTTGGTGTAGCGAAACATTCCTTGCTGAAAGGCCTTGGACAAACATTCAACAAAATTACTGCATACCATTTCTGAGGCTTCTATGTTTTGATTCATTATGCGCTGAGTGGCGAAGACTTGGTTTTCCTTAACACTATTTATATCATGACCTCAAATGTCATTTACGAAATCGTTCTGTTATCACATCATATTAAAAAGCTTGCGTCATACATTCTATAGCGGCCCCCGGGAAGTCAACCGTATAACTACCAACAAGAATGGTGTATTACGTTTCGTGTCGTTGATTTTAAGCGAGTTTCGTTGGATTACATCGCGTATTTGTTTGAATCATCGGGTCAATTGGATGATTTAAGCAGTTTCTAGCGTTGGATTAAAACTCTTGTGGAGTTCCGAAGTGCCAAAATCTTTTTCTAGCGATTTCGTGATTGCACGTGATTTTGGACAGCAGTGAATACGTCGTCGTTCTTGTGTCTAATTCGCGTTCATCTGTGTTCCATCGATTTTTTAAGGTGAGTGTTAGTTCTTGAGGGCCAGTGATTCTTTGTTAGTTCTATGAACGATTGTGAACGTGAATGGTGGACTGAAAACTTTGCTTAGTTCTATTTCGTGTCAGATACTAAATAACGGAATAGAACCCACTTCAGCGTTCTCAAAATCATACCATTTTCGTGTGGACGGAATGCACGATTCTCGCCTTAAGTAACACGGTAACTGCAACGTATTCACCAATCACGTGTACATTTGTGTTTAATTGTCAAATCTTTTCATTCAGCATCAAGCTGATTATCTTTTCGAGAAAACGATCACAGTTTGACGAGGACTTGATGATTCAATCTTCCAAAATATTTCAGATGAATATGAGACGTCTTCGCAGATATAAATCATGCTTACAGACAGGAACATTCTTGAAAGCAAGTGTAAATTTTCGCATTTGAGCAAAGGAATGGTTTCATCTTTCCGTATCTTTTAGTCTTTAAATTGGACAAATGTTCCTCGGGAAATAAATTTTATAAATTTTGCAAACAACAGAAATATGAAAATCTTTCTTACGTGATGGCGAAGTGAAAGACTTATATGTAACGGCGCCGTCATGACTTTAATCATGCATTGCGTAATTTTTTTCAAGATCCTGTGCTAGGCATAGATTTCAATAAATGACGACACTATCGACAGATGTCTCTCAATTTTTCTATGACTTTCGTGTCTCCAGGAAGTTCGGATCGTAGTTTCGCTGTCCTTGGGCAAACTTGAGAATGATCACTGTTCTAAGCAACCCCGACGCCTGGAGAAATCGCTGCAAACTCCGCAATTTTTGGTCGAAGTTTGTAACAAATTCTTCAAATCTCGAGCGATGTTTCTTAACTCGATTAGCTTTTCATCCCAAATATTCTCTGGTCCTCACTGATTTTGTATTTTTGTATTTTATTTTGTATTTTATTGTAATCAGACATGACATGACACTTAGCATAAAAAAAAAATAGCATTTATTTGCAGATTATTTATCGATTTTTTTGAAAAATAATTATTATCGATTAAAAGTTAGATCAAAACCCCTTTCAGTTATTCACGTCACAAGTCTTGGTTTAATTTCAATCTTTTTATTGTTTCACATGCAATCTTTATTTCCTTCGCTATCTTTTGTGATTACGAGTGACCCTTTATATACCCAGCCAGAGTAAAAAAATATTTGGAATTTTTTCATTTCCTTATTTATGTTTCGTGACTCGGTGAATACATTGCCTATAATTTGTTGCATTGTCCATAATGGTTTCAAAAACTTCCCCACTCTTCGTTTGAGCTTGTGAAGAGCAGAATCATGTACAAAATGCTGGATTTGCATGAAACCGCATTAGTTATTTCCGGTGTGTTGGCGGACCACTCGATATCGATGTAAACAACATCAAGAAAACAAGTACAGCCGGTCAAACAGGGACGAGTGATGTTCAAAATGGCCGTCTTTGAACCTCGTGTAGCGTAACGGCTTTTGATCCATCAAGTTCGTCCGAAACTTTCTTTGTTACGTTGAAAAATCGATAAAAGTCGGTGCAACAACTTCATGCGTTAGGTGAAGTAAGCGTTTAAGGTATAAAGATTTCGTTCATAAGAGAAAAGTGGATTTGACAAGATTACCTGAAGTATATTATTGACATGGCTGCTTATATTTATGTCGCGAACCCGTCGGCCGTTGGGTTATAATTTGCATCCGGAAAGATATGAGTAAAACGTCTGGAACGATTTTGTCTTCTCGTTGTGATGAAAGTGATTTTCGTCATGTAGTTGGTCAAAAAAGTTATATTTTGGTGAATTGTGTTTATAATGAGATAATTGCTACTTGTCCACTTCTGTGGTGTTTTGTGTCCCTTTTAAATTGGGGTTTTATACTTGACCATTTTACTCTTTAAGAAAACGTGTTGCAGAAAGTTGCAGAATTTCTATTGAAACGATCAGGAAAACTGAACACAATTCGGTCGAACTTATTTTCAGAAATTGAAGAGTTTTTATAACAGACTATTTTTTCAATATCATTAAAATTTAAAGGGAGGAATTTGGATCGATTTTCTTTGGCATGTGGCAATATTTATTTTAACAGACTGACATATATTACTTAATGAAAAGATCTTCACTTTGCATATGAAGATATAACAGTGTTAGTTCAGTCTAAAGATATTGTCTCTCCCGAGTTGATTAAATGGCTATTTTGGGATATCTTTTTTAAACCAACGCGTTTAAAATAAAAAAAAAATTCCTTCCACGATTCGCCTAAAAATGTCCCACAATGTTCGTCATGGCACTTCAGTTACGATTTCTTGGCGTTTCGTGACGTAACAACGGAAAAAAAAGCAAACAATTTGTATACATTTACAGATAAATCTTTGTTAACAAATGACAGTATGATCAAATTTTGACATTGATGTTCTCTAATGGATGAAATAGTTGTCTTCTTTCCAACTGTAAGAACTCAACAAGACAAGAATGCGATCGGAAAAAAAAGAAAGAAAAAACATCTAATGTCACCCTTTTTTTACCCAATGAAAGTTTTTTCTTAATAACACCCGTATGTAAGAGCTTGCAAGCGTACTGAAAATTTGCCCAAAATGTTGCTGACTAATCTGTTTTGAATAAGAAATGAGAATGGCAGCGTCTTTGTAAATATCCCTGACTTTATCTGTCCCATCTTTTCATGAGGCAATCATAGGACTCTATAACGAGTAAACACCTGAATTTCCTTCTTTTTTTTTTCTTTCAGATTTCATTATCTCACAACTTCTTGAATATTTTGTTTTGCCAGTTTAATACCAGTTAAAGAAATTACTTTGGCACAGGAATTTGAAAGTTACACCAAAGAAATCTTAACTGACCTCATCATCGAGACTTTTCCAAATTTTGATTGTTACTACTTTCCTCGGCAACAATTTTTTCATAAGTTTTTTAGTCATTATGCCAATGTTTGAGTAAATGTTGTAGATCTAGAATTAAAATTTCCCACAAATCTAGAGGATGGTGGAGAGCGTTACTAGCTTAAACCTTGGCATGCGCAAATACGTTATAATATTTTGTTTACCTTCGCCTCCCTTTGGCTTTCGCGTTTTCACACATCTTCGGTCCCCGGAGAATACACGAGAACATTCCGGAAATACAGCGATAACCGCCGTCTATTTTCAGAGTTTTCATTGGTCAAATATAAGATCACATGATCTAGATTTGACCATATTTGGAATTCAGTTCTTCGTGTTTAGCAGTTTTCCCGCCAACGGGTTGGTGTGGGTGGCAACAACAAACGTCAGACTTGAGTTTAGAGTTCATGTGTTATTCCGACGGATTTACAGGCTAAATGTGGTTAATCTTGTTCCTTCGACCCTAGAATACGCTTTCCTTGGGAGAATCTTGGACATGGGAAGATCGAGAAAGAACTTGATCGAGCTTTTGGTTTGTGTGTGTATCGCTTTGGATTTTGCTCAAACAATAGGTGAGCGTATATCGATCATCCTTCTATGGTAGTTACGTTTTGTTATGTTTTTTGTTGTCGTAAAATGAAGTCCTCCAAATGGATCTCGACTTCTCTCACCATCAGAAGCATTAAACTTTCTTTCTACTACTTACTTTAATTCATGATCTTCATTGGTATCATGTGGGATAGTGGAAAAGGGGAATTCAAGAAGACATCGCATGGTTCTGCCACGAAGTTGTGGGATCGTAATTTCGATTTTTAACGACTTCCCCTCTAGCCTTACGTTGTCTTCTTTTGAAGACACTCCGCAAGTATCGTGTACTATTTCCTTGCGAAGCGTTGAATAAATCATTTACGATTGATGTTCTTTGCATGATTACAATGATTCAACGGCGTTAAGCAGTGTATCGTATATTTGCCCCGTAGTCTAGTACGACTGCGTGTGTACTGTACTGACGACCGTCCTTCGATTTCAGTTGCAGATTTTCGATGCGGTAAAGATCAGTTTGTTTGTGGCAATGAAACATGTATACCTGAAAATTGGAGATGTGATGGGGAAGATGATTGCGGAGATAACTCCGACGAGAAGAATTGTCGTAAGTTTTTCGATCTTGTGATGATGTGTAAAATAGAACCCGCTTGTTGTTATTGGGAGTTGAAGTGGTGTGCGTTGCATCACTCGTTTGCTTATACCGTAGAATATCTCTCTTTTTCATGTCTCTCTTTTCACCTTAAATCTTTAAATTTAAGAGACAGGTTTTAAATGTAAGGAACAAAGAGGAATTTTATCTTTTAATGTAATGAGAAGGAAGAATTGTAGCGCAAATGAGCGTGTCGATCTGTTTGTACGTGGAAATGCGCCATTAATAGTATATGAATGAAAAACGATTGGGACAAAAAGTTTGTAAGGAGGTTCACAAATTTATCATAAAGAATATCTTAATGATTTGTTTTGCGGGATGAAGTAAGTTTAGTTTGGATATTCTCTTCAGAGAAACATTGAATAGGCATGTGTAGTATCGACACTCTCCCTTATTTCGCGAGTGCGTGGGTCGTCTAAGCACTAGTTGCGTCTGTGATTTTGCTGGCCAGAATACGACCTAGAGATTTTTTTATATTTTCACTACGTTCTCTGCGATTGCTCTCAAAGACTTTGTGTTCGATTTTGGCCGTCGATGAACGATCGTGAATAAACTAGGTAATTTTCAGTGATTTTCAGTTTACGAGTCTTCGCTTGTTTTTGTTCGTTGTAGTCATTTTCCTATTTGCATACAAGACATAGGCTCAGGCGGAACTTCAAACAAATCCTAGATCTTCATTGGTTGGAAAAATGAAAAACATTGGTAAACAGGTCGGCAAGCTTGTTTATTATTTCTTTGGCCAATAGGGTTTTTCGTTCTTGCATCAAACGTGCGAACTTGTACAAAAGCCCCACCGCCCTCGTTCATTTCACAGTGAAGTTCGATGTCTGCGACGTGTAGTTTCCAACTTATTTCGTCTCCCACGCCATTTTTGCGCTCAGAGTTAGTTGTTGTGGTAACAAATAATTTACAGGCGTTTTAATCGTCAACGTCGCCGATAAAGATCGAGGTGTAACGTGTTTGAGCATTTGGGATACATTCCCTGATCTATGGCATTCCACCCCACGTTCCGCGGAACTGTGAAATAGCTTTCGTGCTAACCAAAAAATGTTCAATATTTATTTTGATGATACCGAGATGTGTCATCTTCATGTGAAATATTCCAGCTTTGGTACAAAGGTCTCTGTTTTGTTCTTCTTATAAAACTTTAAGTTGAAAGAGATGTTTTACCTAAGTTTCTGATCCACATACTAATCCAGACTAGTTCTAAGGTACATGCAACCGAAGGAAAATATGCGTGCATCCCACATTTAAAGTGCGTTATGTATCAAATTTCTATTTCGTGTAGTTATTCCTTTATTGTAGGAGAAGAATTAATTGTTAATTAAGTGACTACGAATCACACGTGCGCTCATTACTCTCAGCAAGTATATTTTGAAACTTGTGCTTCATATTAAATGTGTAAATTTCCTAAGGGGGGATGCTTATTTTGCAAAGCGATGTAAGGTTAATATTTCACTTGTAATTTACTTGTGTCTCAACATTGTCTTTTTAAGATTATAACTACATGGATCGCTTTCTTATTCAAAAAATTATGCTTGATACTCCGAGTGAAAGAGAAAAACTATTATCTTCCCTGGCAAAATGTTTTTAAAAACAGGTACAGAGAAAAAGCTGTTAATCGGTGCAGTAGTCCCTTCTTTATTGTGACAAAGGAGGAACCATTTTCATGTTTATCAGTCTGAGGTGCAAGAGTGCAGAAAGTTATTTATAAACCCATTAGTGGAATTTTATGGTAAATAGCTATTTAGATTCTGTTTCTGAAGCTTTCTGTGAGTTCCCTGGGCAACCAGGTAAACAGTCATAGTAATTATGTTGGAAAATCTCTTGCACTGGCATGGAGATCTCAGTCCAAGCAATTGATGTCTTGGTAGCTAGGTTAGAACAATAAAATGAGAAATATTGTGGCCCTGTTACCCTTGTTTTGTGGGGTAAAACCAGGATCTTGGCACCTGTTGTAGACTACCTTTCCAAAGGAAAATATTAATTTTTTAGCCTGGGAAAGATTGATGTGTGAAGGTTTTGAAAACAAAGTCAGGCTCACATTTTATCTAATTTTATTTGTGATCTTTCTTTGGTGGGCAACTCACTATTTAGCACAGGATAAATAGTAGTATCATACTCTGATTGGAGTTCTGTTGCTGTCTTTCTTGTAATTTATCATACTTTGTGTTTTAAATAACTTGAATCTTTTGTTTTCTAGCTGTTAGACATTGTGACCTTAGCACTCATTTTGAGTGTAAAACTGTTGACCGTTGCGTTCCTCAGAGATGGGTTTGTGATTTTGCTAATGATTGTGGGGATAACTCCGATGAACCAGCAAACTGTGGTATGTAATAAAAATTGGTTTACAAATAGATACCATGTTGCTGTGTGTTTTTCCAGTAATTGATCACAGATGATCTCAAAATGTGGCTAAGACCAAAAAAGTGTTATTGATATTGTTCCTAAATTTTGTGGTCTTCCGTGATCTCTATTGAACAGACACTTGGCAACATGTATCTGTTCTCAGATGGATCACAAGTAAGAACTAATCAAAATGCATGTATAGTTCAGCCTAATACGTAACATAATAAATAACACAGCTAAAGAGAGAATACTATTTTATCAAGATAAAATGAAATTCATATCTTTAAACTGTGATGAAAAGGTTGTAGTACCAATCATTCATGTACAAGCTTCTGTACCTGCCTGTTCACTTAATTAAGCAGAAATTTGATCGGATTGTGACGAGTGGAAGGAATAACTAAGGCCTAGGGAAAAGCTGTGCATCAGTTATAAAGAACTGGAGTTGTAAACTTAGATTAACAATCAAGTGCTGTCTGTTGACATTGGACAAGTATAAATTTCTCCATTACTCAGGGTTGTCAAAATAAGAGGACAGCTAGTGCATTTTGCCTTCTACTCCAAATAATGGGGTAGTTATTCCAATTGTTTTTGGCCCAATTTTTTGCATAGAAGCATCACCTTGTGCTTTTTAATTTGTATTACAGTCTGGTTTCTCAAAGTATTGTCTATAACCCTGCATACTCAGGGGTTTCATTAAGGGCCGGGCACAGGGTAAATTGACCAGTTGTGAGGAGGGTGTTGCCTAGCTGGGTTGATGATGTTGATGATGTGGAGGAAAGTTTATCTTATGAAGAAGTTCAGTTCAAAAGTTTTTGCCTGCCTGCAAAAACCAGTTACCCTCTTGTTGAAAACATTATTGAAACTCCTGCATATTGTTAGTGTCTTTCATCATTTGGGTCATAATAGAGTTTAATCTTAAGAATTTTGTTTGCAGCTGAAAGAACATGTTCTCAAAATGAATATGCATGTGGAAATGGTCATTGTATTCCAATGAGGTGGCGTTGTGATCATGATAAAGATTGTGAGGACGGTAGTGATGAACGAGATTGTGGTAAGGTGTCATCATCTGCAACACACCAGACATTTGAGAGGACATCAACAAAGCGGCTAATTAACATGAACAGTTTAAAAATTTTAACACTTGATTTTAAATGAATTGCTTCAAATTAAAATAATCAAGAACGAATTTGCAACATTAAAATTGAGTGATCATTAATTTTTTTGAGAAATGAAGTTTAACTGAGTAAGCTTCAATACCAGCCTTTGAATATGTGAAGCTCCTTTCATCAATGTCTTAAGAGAAATTTTGAATACAACATGTACAATTTTTGTCACTTGGAAATGTTACAAATTCAAACATGATTTTTACCTTATTCAAATTTTTTAATCTTTTTAAGTGGTTCATATGTCTGGTAAATAACTCTATTTCACTATTTTTTGATCACTATTTATACTTGTGATTTCACCAAAGTAAAGTTTTGATTTTGAAATAATGTGATGTAGGATTAAAACTTAACTTTGCTATGCATATGTTACACATAATAGTCAGGTTAATTAATTTTTTTAAAGGATTTTTTTTATAAAGCTTGTTTGATTAATTAATAGATATAATTGTCTGACATTTTTAAAATACATTGTTATTGATAGAGAGCCATTTAGATTCTTAAATGTAACATTTATGCCCCATATAAGAGCATTTTTTTTGAGTAGACATTCCTTTAAATGAAATTTGAATCATCAAGTTTTATTTCCTGTTGTTTGAAACATATCCCTTGTTTCCAAAACAACCTGTTTCATTTATGACTGCAGCCATTTCATAAAACTTTGAAGTTAAACAATCAAGTACCAAAAACTTTTCTACAAATGGTCCCTATATCAAAAGTTAAAAAAAAAAGTAAGCATTTAAACCTTACTTTGTCATCCTCTCTTTGTCTGGTGCTGGAATTTGCATTAATTTGTGTTTTGTTCATTTTTTGCAACTCTTCTCTGATACAAGGAACAATTTCTCCAGGTAACAAGACTTGTGATGGTAATCAGTTTACCTGTGGAAATGGCAAGTGTATCTCGCGTAGCTGGGTGTGTGATCGTGACGACGATTGTACAGATTACTCTGATGAAAGGAATTGCCGTAAGTTGTTTGGTTTCTTTGTAGAGCACAAACAGTGACACAATAGGCAATTTGAAATTACTCTTGATTTTCTTCTTAATTAGGGTTTCATATTTTAACTTTGTAATAGTAGAGAACAAAGTTTGACATTTTTCAGTTGTTTCATTACTTTTCTCTAATTACATTGCTTTACATTGCTGAGGACCAACAGGTAACTTGCATGTAATAAATTTCTCTGTCTGTCTTTTACAGCTAACAAGACATGCAAACCAACAGAGTTCACTTGTAACAATGGAAAGTGTATAAAAGCTTCCTACAAGTGTGATGGAGACAATGATTGCCAGGATGGTTCTGATGAACTTGGCTGTCCAACCACTGGTCCTACGTGCAAGTATAGTGAATTTCAGTGCAAATCTCATGAATGTATTCATGAAAGTTGGATATGTGATGGAGAAAATGATTGCAGTGATGGTTCAGATGAGAAAGGATGCAGTGAGTATTAAATTTCAGATGTCAAATGTTAAATTTAAAAAGAGACAGTAAGATATTTTTTAGAGAATTTTGCTGTGAATGTGGTAAATTAAAAACCACAATGGTTAGAACCGTTAATCGGAGTAAGGAAAGTAACACTGAGGGGGCCATGGAAATGCAGAGGAAAATGAGCAAAGGGATTGAGGAAAATGCAAGTGACCAAGTGGCGATGATAAAGACATGCTGAAAATTCATTGAAGCTATGTGAACTTGAATGAAGATGTTGTGAGACTAAAACCTCCATTTTTCTTCTTATTAGTATTATTATTTTCTTCAGATGTTACCTCCTGTGGTCCCAGTGAGTTCAGTTGTACGAATGGAAGGTGCATAACTATTCATTCACAGTGTGATGGCAGAAATGACTGTTTAGACAACTCAGATGAGCAGGATTGTGGTGGGTAGATGAGTTCCATTGTTTCATTGTTCATTTTGACCTAGAATTTTAAGAACCATCTTTTTGTCTAATGAGGTAAGATGTGTGTTTTCCCTTCTAGCTCCAGTAAAACCAAAGCCCTGCAAGAAGGATGAATTCCAATGTGGAAATACAGAGCAATGCATTCCATACAGTAAAGTTTGTGATGGTAATGCGGACTGCAAGAATCGATTGGATGATGAACCTTTGTCTTGTTGTAAGTTACACCTCCCTTTCATGAAACTGGTCATGTCATCTAATTGAATTGGTTTTCAAACAAATAAAATTTATTACCTGGGTATCTGATCTAATACAAAACAAAAAGGTTGAAAGGTTGTATTTAGAGCTCTTATCTATGATAAATCTTGTTTCTGAAAAAGTAAAATGTGTCTGGTTACAGACAAGATGTCTAAGTGTGGTCTTCAGCTGCAATATTTTTGTTGTGTCCTAACTAAATCAACTTTCAGATGCATTATTGTTACTTTTCATTAGTTGACATTTTTGCCTTTTGCAAAATTTTTTGGCAACTTTTGGAGGGTTGCTATCTTCAGAACATGTAAGTAAGATAGCAGTCTAATGGAAAGTTAAAGAATTTTAAATAGCTGATTCTGTTTTATCATTTTTAACAGCAATTAATGAATGTAATTATCACAATGGCCATTGTCAACAAATCTGCACTGATACCAAAACATCTTACATCTGCTCCTGTCGCGTGGGCTATAAAGTAGACAAGGATGATCGAAGAGTTTGCAGAGGTATTACCTTAAAAAAATTAGAAATTGATTGTCTTTTTTCCCTCCATGTCAAGGGCCTTGCCATATACCTTTTATGAACAAGCATTTAAGGGAGGGGTTATGCAGTATCCTCCAATTAGCTTTAGATAAATTAAGGGAGCTCAAATAAGCCCATGATAATGTCCATGGGTAACCCCAGTTTCTCTTTGCTAATTTCCAAGGAAAATTTTGCATCACTCAAATTACTCAAAGAAGTTTAAGGATAAGGACCTGTTAACATTGCCCTCCTGCACAAAATTACACCATTAACAGACTTCAAAGGTACCATTCAGTAGTTAAGGACTCAAGTGGTATTTATTTTCAGTATTTGCATGGGAATTCCTATTGAGGTTTTTGAACAATTTACTTCTAGATGTGGATGAGTGTGAAATTCCAGGGTCATGCAGCCAAGCTTGTTACAACCAGAAAGGAAGTTTCAAATGTATTTGCCGGAATGGCTACGTCATGGAGCCAGATCGTCAGAGCTGTAAGGCAATAGGTTAGTGGAAATCGCCTTGGTGTTTAGTCGCGTACCATATGTTTAGATGAATGAATGAGGACAGTGCTCAAGAGCCACTGAGTCTAGTGGCTCAACCTCTAGACCCCTAAGATTGATTAGCATCTAATTTCTTCCTTTCAGTATCATCCCTGAATCACTCATCAATGCCACGAGAATAAAGTAAACGATCAACAATTAAAGAACCTCTTGATTGTTAAAACTTCTGATCATCTGTCTTCATTCTCACATCTTAATCCTTAAAACTTTATCAAAAGAAATAGAGAATTCCAAATTGATTCTTTTAACTTAAAATTGAATGGTACTGCACTCAGTTTCAAGTAGTGAAGAGACTTTGTCATTTTCCACAGGCGAACCAGGCTTCCTCATTTTTGCCAATCGTCAAGACATTCGCCACCTCTCGTTTGATTCCTCTGACTACAGAGAAATGGTTCCAGAGCAGCGGGGTGCTATAGCATTAGATTATGACTTTGAAAGTGGTTATATATTCTGGACAGATGTCATTGATGAAAATATCAGGCGAACAAAGATGCATGATACTTCCCCAGTAGAAGACTTGGTAAAGATAAACCTTGATACACCTGATGGAATTGCTGTAGATTGGATCAACAGAAAGTTATATTGGACTGACACAGGTGTAGACATGATTGAGGTATCTGATTTTGATGGCAAGAATCGGCTCCAACTGGTAACAACAAATCTGGAGGAACCAAGAGCAATTGTGGTGCATCCTTTTCTTGGGTATGTTGAATTAAATGACGTAGTGTGATTCTTTTGTAGTTGTCTATATGCGGGAATCCTCAGATAGCACAATGTTTAGCTTATCCTTTTAATTCGGAACTAAAGGCTGATTTTTTTTTCTAAGCAGCTGTGAGTTTTAACATACCAGTAACTATTATTTGATTTTGGCTATCTGCTTTAGTAGCCTTAACACTAAAAAAAATTTATTTCATTAGTGAATGAGAGATTTCCTTCAAATCTGCCTTACTAGGTTGATTTGAGGGTTTTTATAGAAAATATGTTAAATCCAAGTTAATTGTAGCTGTTTGTCATGGCTGCTAACATGCTTAAACTCCATTTTTTCTCCTTACTGTTTCTTGCATTAACTGCTGTCACACTAAGAATGCAGAACATGTAAATTTAAATCCTTTTGTCTTGTTACTTTTTGCTTTTCAGTTTTATGTTTTGGACTGATTGGGGTGAGAAAGCAAAGATTGAGAAGTGTGGTATGAATGGAGACCTTGAAACAAGGCTAGAAATAGTTACTACCAACATCATGTGGCCCAATGCTCTTGCAATAGATTATACTGTGGACAGAATTTGGTGGGCCGATGCAAAACTCCACACCATAGAATCATCAGATTTAGATGGAGGAAATAGACGACTTGTCTTAAGTGAGAACATCAACCATCCATTTGCACTGACTGTTTTTCAGAGTTACATTTATTGGACAGACTGGCATCATAATGCAATCCACAAGGCTAATAAATTTACTGGTGAAGAGAGATCAATTGTAAGGGAGAATCTGTTTTCACCAATGGATATCCATGTCTATCATCGACAGCGGCAACCAATAGGTAACTTTTACAACATACAGTGCTAACCCTTTTACCTCTAGGATTGACTAACAAATCCTCTCCTCACAATTCCACTATAACATCTTGGGAAAGATACTTATACTCACAGCAAGAGTATCACAAGGCTGTGCTCTAAGGAAAATTGAATGGAACCCAGTGCTCTGAATCTGTGAAATCCAGGGTGCCCAGTATAATTATGCTTTTTATGAAAAAACTAAAATTCCTGAGTTACCCAAGAGCAAAAGTAAGGTGCCAGGGGCCATCAGGTACTGCTAGACCACAGCCTTGGTATCAGTAAGGCAAAGTAGTATTGGCAAGGAAAGGTGTATGATGAAATGCTGTGGTTTTGTGGTTAACTTGTTATGTACCCGTGCCCTGAAATGCAGTTGACAGAGAACAGTTGCCCTTGTCATGGAAGTTAAGCCAGGGTTTTTTCTTAGTGAGTAGAGAAGACTCTGACCTCCCTGCAAAGTGAACTTCCCCCCTAACTAAGGTGGGGCATGGTGTGCAGGGGGATTTTTGACTCTTTAAGTTTCTTGTTACAGAATCCTGTGAATGCCCCTGTGGGATGAGCCACTTGACCGGATTGCAGTTACTACAGCATATGAAAGTAGATTTGTAGCTGAAATCACTGATATGCCAATTAAACCTAAGATTTTCCTCTCCTTTGAAAACAGGGATGAATCCATGTAGTGTTGTAGCAGAGATTGAAGGCTGCAGCCATATTTGTCTGTTAGCTCCCAAAAATAACAAATATCCAGATGGTTTCTCCTGTCACTGCCCCCCTGGTGTTAATCTGCTCTATGATCAAAGGACCTGCAACACAACAGGTACCAGTCATTTTTGTTAACATTCATTAAACAAAATTATTCTTCCTTGGTGTTTTGTCTTAAAACTACATGATGAGGATTTTCTGTGTGTGTGCTTTTGTGGTCACTCTACCATCTTACAAATCTGGTAGGTACTACCAGTGGAGTTCAATAGTTTGTGTACTTGTGGGAAAAATCATTTTGTGTCCAGCAGCAAGTGTATCTTACTGTGACATAATTGTTCATTCAGTGATCTACTTTTAGTTACCCATTCACACTTATTAATATAGTTTTAAGGGTATAGTTTAAAACACTAGGTATCAAAGCTTTTACCTACTCAGTTTGTCGGGCAAGAAATGTTTTTTGTTCGATTTAAGTGTTTATTGCAAACTTTTTTCTGATATCCCTTGCAAAGCAGCTTAAGAACTGGTAATACCTTGCCCATTTGTCTGATTAAAGGTGGCAAACTGTTCCCATTAGGGTATGCAATATTTATTTATCCATGCAAAACCTTTTTTCCCTTCAACAACTCAAACAACACAAACCATTCTTTCCCCTCAGGTGAAAGAAAGAGAAAAAACTACTATACATTCTAGTTTTTTTGTTGAAACATTCTTTAAAATCAGTCTTTTCATCTTCATTTTAATTGAAAGTTACTATTAAGATCCTTTTTGAAAGGACAACTTTAGGATTAATGAATGTTTGTTCTCAAATTAGTTAAGTTTGGGCTGATTTATCCCCTATATCCCAGTAAAATAAGTTTTCATTATACTTTTTCATTTTTCTAGATGCTTTCAAATGCACAAACAAAACATGTATGAATGGTGGAACATGTATTGTAAAAGAGGTTGGGGCATTACCATCTTGCATGTAAGTTTTTCCTTACAGTATATAATTAACAAAGAAGGATGCTTTTTATCTTGTTATCCCGTCATGTTTGAATATTGGATATGGCAAATGATCATATTAGATGAAAATGAAAACCAAGATTCTAGTTTTACTTGGATAAAAACAATAAACCATAGTCCCCGTCTCCTTTATCTCCCTGTACTGATTAGCAGGGGACGTTAAAGAAGCCACACACTTTTTGCAAAGAGAAGGGAATGTAGTTTTTGTTATTGTGGTCTTGCCTTTCTTTGCTTTTTACAGGCCTCTATTTGATATACAGTAGCTGCAGCTTTAAAGCTGAACTGGGCCAGCTTATCTAACTATTGCAAGTAAATTAAGTGATTTTTGTTTTCCAGATGTACTCATGAGTTCACAGGAAAGGATTGTAGCGTAAGACGCAGCCTACCTCTTAGTCCCACACCTGACACAAGTGGACATAAAGCACCACTTAATGTGGGTCAATTGCAAGATGTTCAAAAAGAGGATGTTGGTGAGTAAAATGAATGAGCTTTCTCTTTTACTCTCAGGATCTCACTGTCAGTTACCTGCATGGATGTCCATCTATTTCTAACAACTGTAGATTTGAGAATTTGGTCTCTAGTCAAACGTAATGCCCTAGTTGATGGCTGGTTGTCTTAAGAAAGATTGTTCTGCTGTCTAAGGATGTTTGACAAAGGAAAATTTCCTCCAATACAACCTCAATCTCTCATCTCTCGGTTAGAGCAATTTTCAGTGGAGTGTTAAGGAAAATCTTGGATTGCTTTAGCTTTGCTTTATTGCACTCTGTTTCTGTACCAGAAAACTTGTGTCGCCCTCTCCACCAGGGGCAACTTAGTATCCCATGTTTTTGCTCTCAAGGCTCTGCTTTCCTTTGTTTGCTTTGAGTTCTTACTGGTCGATCCTTTTGATATTTTTATTTGATCTGAATGCAGCCTAGATTATTTGGTGTCACAGCATTTAGGAATTCAGTTAGAGTACACATGGCTTTGGCATGTTTCTGGGGTGAAGAATGCCGCTTACCAATTCTCTCTCCTCTGGTGAATGAAAATCTCTTTGAAAGTTTTTTCCTAGTAGTTTGTGAAGTGATTTAAAGACATAGCAGCTGACCCTTTTTCCTCTTTCCTTCAGGTGTAACAGCAGGAATATCAGTGGCTGTGGTCATAGTCCTCTTAGCTATGAGTGGCTTGATTGGATGGCTAGTTTACAGAAGAATACGAAGAAAGTAAGTAGCGCTTAACTCTGGGTAATTTATTATGATCATGTATATGTAGAATCTCTTATATCGACCTTAAACATATTCCATTTTTTGGTGGATCACCAAGGCTATTTGTCAAAATAAGTTGATGAGAGCATGCCTGATTGGTGGCAAGAATATCTAATTAAGGGAAATATACTCTAAGCAAATTTGGAGTGTTTTTATTAGTTGCAAGTAATTGTTTAGCTTGTGAAAATTAAACCTTTGAATGTTTTGTTTTGGTTTGTTTAACCCATTGAAATGTACATCAGTACATGTCTTAAATGATGAGGAGAAAAGTGAAATAAAGAGAATGAAACCACCTGAAACATGAAAGAATGTGGGGAAATGCCTTTTGCTACTAAAGTTCAGGCATGTTTCAATTGTGTTCATGTTACAAATTTTATTTATTTTGTGTCATTTGTTTTCAGCAATCTTAGATCAATGAGTTTTGATAACCCTGTGTATAAGAAAACAACTGAATCTAATGGCTCACTGGATAGAATAAGTATAAGGTTTGGTCATTCACATGCAAAAAAATGTCAGTCATTATTGGTGAGTTGATGTTTGATTGTACATGTACATTCTATCCTTAACCCTTTAACTCCCAGAGGTGATTAACGTGTAACTTCTCCTTATAACACCATACATTATTCAACAGACAGGTAATGAGAATACTTTGACTAATCAGGTAGACGTTGTTCTCTTGATCTAGCACCAAACTCCCATAACTAATTTACAAGGAAATGTCTAGCAACTAGAGGGGAGAATTAACAATCAGATCCTGGTGTTGGTGTGAAATTACTTAAATTGAGAGGTTGTATGGAATAACTTTTGATAAAATATCAACTTCAGTTTTTTCCAGTTAGTATTTATACACCCTGTAGTGAGGTAGTGTTTCTTCCTTAACTCGTGGAAGTCCTTCTAAATTGAAGTTACTTTTTTATGAACAAACTTAAACTTAATGTTGTTGTGTGATAAGAGAAGTTGGGTTCTCGTGTCTAATGCACTTAACTCTGAATCTAAAGGTTTGGCACCAAGCTGTGAATAGTTAATTGTGTTGTTTTTGAGGGAGACACCTTACCCTCAGAGTGATTCATGTCATTCAAGAGTGTAAATGGGTATCAACAAAATTTAAGGGAACCTGACAAAAGTTTTGGGGTTTACCTGCCATGGATAGATGGATAGATGGCCAAACTTAGTTACTTACAGCAAAACAATGAGGTTAAGCACCAGGAGTTATGACAAAGACTTAACCATATGTTGTATCGTGGTCTTTGGTGACATTTTTCCCTTCTTTTTTCAGAGTTCATTCCGGAATGAAGTTGAAATTCACAGTTGCTAGCACTTCAATTATTATCCAAATGGCAAAGGCAAGAAAATCTGAAGAGACTGTTGCAAGTATATCTGTCTTTCTTGCCTGTTATATCTCTCTGAATTTAGAGCCTTGTGAGCTGAAATATTTTTTAAAGCTAGCAATGGAAAAGCACAGTTCAGCCTCCAGATAGTGATAAAATGCTTTTGAATTTCATGTTTGTAACACTTAACTAGAACTTCACTTTGTTATAAAAGAAGTTTCGTTATCTGCTACAGAAGTACTTTTTTGCAACAGTCTTTAAAGATAGACCAGCCTTTGCCAAGTGGGTAATAATTCATTACATAGGTTGTCAAATTAAAAATATAATTATATATTATCTACATCTAATTATAGAGATATTCATAAGCCCATCCTGGCGATGATATGGCTTTTCATATAAGTGATATTTAAATAATTATAATTTTTTGCATTCAGGTTCCCATTGTTACTTGTCTGTTTGGGGAAAACTCATTTGAAGCCTCTTTGATTGCTGTGTAATGTGATTGCAAATGTCACAACTTTTTTCATAAATAATATTAGTTGTTCCTGCTTCTGTGTTGGAAGTGGGTGGGGCAGGGGGGGCTGGGTTAGGAAGTGGGTGGGGAGGGGGGTTGGGTTGGGAGGGATAGGGCGTTATATTTTTGAAGTGGTTAAGAATGAGAGAAACAGACAAATTATGAACAAGAACTGTTGAGATGAGCCAAGATTCATAAAAACTCCACATTCAGTCTGTAATTTTGTTTCTGTTCCTTTGACATTGTAAAAATTTGGCTGTATGTTGATTTAGTTGCTAGAAAAATTTAAGATTTACCCAGGCCTGACTACTGATTTGTTCCAATTTAGTTTTTTAATAACAGGCATAATTAATATTTTCTCATCAAATAGTTTTTTCAATGTGTGCAGAGAACTGAATCTTGGCCTTTTGAAACCTTCCTTAAAATGAAAAATTAACCAAGGAAATTCAAAATGTTTACTGCAGTGGTTGTTGTTTTCTGTGTTCATAAGCTCTTGTTCAAGGACCCAACTTGAAGGTTTTGTGGCCAAATCACAGTTTTTTTTTTCTCAAAGCCCAAATTTACAGAAATCAGGACAATATGTTTAAACCAAGAACAAGGCAAGTATCATAGAAATTGATACCTTGAGCACGAGTAACATCTGTTTACAAACTTTGTAGAAGAACATGCAAGATGACAATGATTCTAAATGATTGCATCGGCTGTAAAAAGATCAAATTTATATCCCTATATACACAGATTCAAAGTGTTGTAAATATATGTAATTGCACCAGCTGCAAGATAATTATTTCTAATGGTATGAAACACCTTAAATATATATTAATATTTTGCTGCAGTTGGTTTAAGCAATGAACACATGAGCTGATACAGGTCTTAGTTTTGAAATGTTTTAGGGAAGGTTGCAGTCTTATTTATTGAATATGCTGTACAAAAGGATATTAATGAACATAACCTATGGCAGGCTGTATTTTTGTTTTCTACTGTAATATTTTTCAAGAAAAAAAGGAAAGCTTAGCAATCACAAAAAGCAAGCACACTACAGTGTATGTGATGCAACTCTTTTGCAACGTTTTCTGTATTTGGACAAGCTTGATTGTTTTGATTTATGTGCAAACCATTTCTTCCCTTGTCACAGATTTGTTTTTTCACTTCCTAAAGAGCAAGGGAAAGGGATAAGAGAAATCATTGGGGCTATGAAGAAGCCTCAGTGTTTTCTCTCAGTTTTCAAGTTAGCATAGCATACAAATAGTTTCAAAAGATTTATTGCAATGTTATTTTAAGCTGAGTTAATCATTTTCCTCCACATCTACTTCAAGACTAGAGGAGTTATGTCAAATACACTGCATGTGGTGAAAGTGTAGATTGTAAATAGAAAATTGACATCTAAATTTGGAGGCAGTTTGTATATTTTGCTGAGAAATTTGATTTTATTCGTGTTATTCTCCATTGTTAACATTTTGATGGAAATTTCACATTGCATCAGTTTAGAGTCTCATAAAAATAGTTCGTCTTCTGGTCCAGACCATGGAATTGTAGCTTGATTTTGGTTTCTGTTTTGATATTATCCATACCACTTACAACTTTGTAATATGCACGAAATTTTTAAATTATCAAATTTTCATAGGATCAGTATCTGTTATATGGCTTCTTGACTGTTCAAATTTAATCAGTTCTGCAGTACTGGTATTTTGGTAAAATGTACCCTTTAGTTATGTTATTATTAAGCCGTTATTAATGTTGATACTGCAACTTACTGTAACCTGATTGTTTAGAAGTATCAGTAGAGTTGAATACCTCATTCAACATTTCTGAGGTTCAAATGCTTCAAGTGTACTTTTATTACATTGTAATTCAAAACTATATGCATCTGTGAGTTAGTTAGAAATTTTCCACAAGAATTATTCGTATGATGGGACACATGCATACTTTCAGGGTGTTATTTTTGCAACTTGATAAAAGAGAAGCCTTAAATCAAATTCGGATTTAGAGAAGGTTAAGGTAAACGTTAATCAAACTGAAGGCGAATTGCCTTGAGATCAGCGTGTACAATATTTAATGTGTGGAAAATGTACTTTTCTTTGTGTGTATAATAGAAATGTATATAGTTATTATGAGAGGTTAAAAATTGCCATGCTATTTGTAAGTTGGCAAGTATGGAATAAAATGATTGCTCTTTATAGAAACCAGCTGTATTTAATTTTGAATTCAGAAGAACGATTAGGTTTACATATAAATTTTAATATATTTGTATGTAAACCTAATATAAACGTAGAAGATATATAAATACTATTAAGAAGTACAACTATGCTCCTTTATGTCTATATCTGAAAATTACTTTAAAATATTATTTTTAAAAGTAAAGATATTTATGCACTTCTGATCGCTTAAGTGAATAATTCTTCAACTGATCTGGACAATATTATAAACAATTTTAAAAAACAAGTGAAGCCTCAAGAAAAGACGTCGACTTCTTAATTTTAAAAGAGCGAACTTACTGCGCATGTCCTAAGTACAAGAGTTACGATGAGCTGATAAAACATTACGCATTGCTTGGGTTTGGAGGCGTTTCAAGCGCTAAGAATTTGCTTACTACAATCTCTCCAAACTATACACCCATAACTGAACAAATATGGGAAGAATAGTCTGTTTTTATATTAGATATTTCTGCTTAAGTAAGATGAAACTCTATTGAGCATTTAAATCTTAGAATAAATCTTAGAGATATTTGAGAAATATGATTCTAGTCACTCTTTGGGCCAAAAGTATCTTCGCCTTAAGAACTCCCCACGTTGAAATTGCTTAGGGGAAGTGTGAGCCCGAATTAGAATTTTTAAACTTTTCCTAGGGGAACAAAGACAGCAGTTCTGGACTTTGTGAAATAAGTCGTGTGTTTTTGAAGAAGCTATCCCCTCATCTTTCTTAGAGTGAGCTCTTTATATCAGACTTCAAAGTTGTCTTTAACTCCTCGGAACTATCAAAAGTACCTCTAGCTAGAAGTGTTCCCGACCCTCCCCTCCCCCCCCCAAAGAAAACATAAAAAAAGGAAAAGAAATGCCTCCAAGTCGTTCGGAATAAACGTTCAAACTTGTGGGGTTCAAACGTAGACAACATCAGCTCCAAAAAATCAACCGTCGCTAACTCTTACAAAAATTAAAAAATATATATATATGACGATGAGAATAGAATATGAAAAAATGGGCACTTGTAGATTGATTTCTTCCTTTTCTTCTTTCGCTGTAAGATCGACACCATGCTAAGTGTTCAAAAAGTTTTGTTTGTTTCAAAGCTTACGTTTCGAGCGTTACCCCTTCGTCAGAGCTAAAGCAGTTTTAGTTTGATTACTGGAGCGACACTGAAATATTCTTCATTTTGGCCGCCTGAATACGTACCGGATGAGTACTTACTCTAAACTAGGCCATCGTGATAAGCCTGTCAGCGATTTTTGCGCATACACCTCGGTGAAAGAGAATGTTGGAAGCGTTGATCAGAATTCCAAGTGACCTTGAGTTGGTCGAGGAGCCTCGAGCTGGCTTGTTCCGTCTCGTGTTTTAGGGGGTGCGTGTGAGGAACTTTTCGCTCGTTTCTCGAGCGACTCAGCTAAGGGAGGACCCTCCACTTTTCTGCAAGCCGTGGGTAACCTCGATCCGATGATTTTAGTGAAAGCCATATAATGGCGGGAAGCTTTGGGAAGAATTTTGTCTCCATTTCTTGGCTCCCCTTCCCACAACCACTTTCACTAGAATGATTTTAAGCAAGACGTTTACGCAGATGGACTCTAATTGGCACATAATTCTCTCAGCTAAATCAACGCTGTGGAAGAAACTTGTTCATTAAAAATAGTTCATTATTTTCACTTTGGAGTTTAACAGCAGACGTTAAGGAGTTCAATTTTTACTTATGCAAGCTGTATTATAATGCAGATCCGTCACTATTTGACTCATTAATAAACATTGTCCAAACTTTATCGGTGCAATGAGGTGTTTTGCTTTGGCAGCAAAACTATGTGACGTATTTTCCAGTGATTGGTTGCAGCTTTGTAATCAATATTCATGGAGTTTGTAAAATTCGTCTAGTTTAAACTCTTTGTGTTCGAGTGAAGACGTCCTTGGAAAAGGAGAGAGGAGACCGAAGGAAAGCGAATACTTTCTAGAGTATTTATCCTACAGACAGACAAGACAAATGGTGAGTATTTTGTCTTCCTGTACTCAAGAAGTTATATCTCGGAAAATAAGCAATAAGAAGCCATTACCGAAGTAGTTTCAGAAAGCACGTGGCCCGTTTGCCAATCTCAGCTTCTTGTCGGGCTGTTTCAAAATTTCCATCATAGCATCGTTCTTCAAGCTCAATTGAGAGCAATTCCCTAGTTTTTTTGCTTGCTGTGCCACAAATTCGATCAATAAGTCCTCCACTGCAAGAAAAAAAGGTGGAAACTAAAAGTTTGCATTCATCTGAATAAATTTCTTCAAGCAAGTCCTAAGAAACTTGACCAGAGCATCATTGTTCCAAATCGCTGATTGACATTAACGGAAAGTATTGGGACCACATATCATCATGTTTCTAAAACTGTTTTCACTTGTTTTATTTTGCAGAAGAAAGAGAAGAAGAGATGAAAAATAAAGGATATATATATAAAGAAGGCAAACTGGAAAACTTGACTAGCTCAATGGAATAATACATCTACAGATAAGAACGAAAGCTTAATTATTTGATAAAAATAACACTGAGCGACCTTTGTGTGATATGGTAATTTCCATGTACAGTTGTTTAACACTCGCATTCATTTTCTCGGCTTTTATTGGAATTCAAAAGTTAAGCAGCAGCAACAAACGGAACAAAACAGTTTGATCGCACAATTTGACCGAAATTCAAAATTTCTTTTCTTCCGATTGCAATCTGTCATTCAAAATCTCACGTCTGCATAAAGATTTTGATGTGATCGCTCAGTGTTGTAGGTCAGTTGTAATTGTTTTAGGTGGCACTGAAAATTTGTTTTAGAATCAACTGTTTAGTTTTAAGTTTGCCTGTTACGTAAAATACAACTATTCCTATTCGGGACAA